CACATACACACACGCGCGCGCGCGCACACACGTACACACACGCGCGCGCGCGCGCACACACACATACAATTAACATGATATATTTTTTCCCTTGCAAAAGAGAAGTGTTAAACGGGCAAAATGTTGCGGAGTTTCAGATTGCGAACTTGACTGCGGGAGCTTAATAAATATCAAGCGAGATAAAAGATGCTCCGCGCCTTCTTTGTTCGCGCTAGAATTATGGAATTAGTTTTAATCTACGGTGAAAGCTGGTTCCGTAGAAACTGGAACACGTTGAAACCGTTCTACACAGGGAAATCTGGGGTTGATGCGACGGGGATATATTGTTCATGCATACACACTGTACTTAACCCGCAAGCCAGGCGTCAGTTTTACATCCAACATGGCGCGGTATCTACATCGCCGCAAGACATTGTTTCATTAAAATATGACTCGTCATTTTAGGCAAGCTCATTTAAAGCTTAATTACATTACTCGCGCTATTACAGTTACGTATCGCATCCGCGTGCGTGCGTCGACGCGCGAATTATTAATTTTTGAAGCGTGCAGATGTTATAGAAGCGCGCACACGATTATGCTCGATTCAGCTGATGTTACGCTGCTCGCGTTCGCATTATCATCATTTATATCATCATTATATCGATGATGCGTATTATCGTAGAAAATTGAAAGTAGCGAACGTGCGCATGTTTTCGATCCGTCGTTCACCCGGACGGAATATAATATAACGATATTCCAAAATGTATTTGCCGATATCCCGCGCTTCCGGTACGCCTTCACGGTCCACCGTGCTTCGTGCTCTGTCAACCAGAAAAACTAGCATTAGGGTTTCTCGCGTGGGTGCACGCTGCCCTCTGCTCCATATTCGCGCGTCAGTCTGGACCCATACGTTGCGTCCATTTAAATTGTTCCAAACGCTTTGTTTCTCATCTCGTTATTTGTGTTTTTCGTAAATCGACTCAGTTCGAGCATGAATGTATTTTTATAATTTTGAAAAACATGTACATATTTATATACATATGTAATACACTGAGAAAAAAACTGATTGCAATTACCATAATTTAATTTTATGATTTATAGTTAATTATATATTATAAATTGTATATCATTTTCGGTACCAGCTATATTTCTTTGTAGAACTATAAATGTGATTATTATTACTAATATATTAAAGTTGACGAGTAGTAATAACTAAAAATGGGACTCCTAAATACAGCTACTTTATATGCAATTATAATCCCAAGTAATTTTCTCTTAATGTACACTTCGTGTTTTACATTAATAAAGCAATACAAATAATACACTTTATTTTACAACATTTTTCGGTAATTAATAATTATAAACATATTTTTGTAATAATGCACATTAGTAATATTTGAGCAATCATTTGATGACCTACTTATTAGATTTATGAAATATACTATATATGTCTACACGAACCAAATTATATTTTCCATTTCTAAGGATGGAATTGTATCTCTTCGAAAAGAGCACTGAGAAAATTTGGACTGACTAAAGACGATATGGTGGCCGAACACGCCAAACACGCATTACTTGTGAAAGGAAAAGTAAAGTAACACTGGAGAATTATACGCGATCACGTAACTAATCTGAGGTACAATGATTATAATTGTAAAGAAGCCCCCTAAAACTTTGCGCGTTCTCTTAATTAAATTTCTCGATTATTCGCGCATTTCTGAAAATGTAACATCCATGTTGAAGAAATTTTCCGTAAGCATGGAATCATATATAAGCATACAAAGCCACCGAAATACTGTAAAATAATCGATCAATAGTATTTTGTAAGTTGGAGAAAGGCATTAACGTTTCGATTCTTCTCGGTGGATGAAAAGTGGCGCGGCAAAAGCCGAGGCGGATCGGGGCGGGACGCGCGAACGCGAAAGAAGTTTTGATTAACAATTCGAGGTGGCGGCGCATTCGAGAGAGAGTGAAATCTATAGGTGTAATGACCCGCGGCAAGGTAGAGGCGAAGTATTTTCTCAGCCAGGAGGAAAACTTACGTCTCTCCGAGATAGAGAAAGAGAAATGTGTGGAGAAAAGGGTGAGGATCGGAGGTGGAGAACGCGCCAGGAGCCGCGTCAGGCAGGCCAGCAGGTGGAATAAGGGCGGTGGAAGGGTAGAATGCATTTATGTAGTGGCACCATTCGAGCCCCACAAGCGGAAGAAAAACTTTCGGCCGGCTTTGAGTTTGAAAAGCAGATGAAAAAGTTTAACGACGTTGAACTACGGTGCCGAGCATTACCCACGGGGGCGGCGTGGCGGTGCCGGGGCCCGCGAATGGATTTTGCTGAGGATAAAACTGCTTTTAAACCCAAAAGTCGGCGGTGGGACCGATATTTTGTGTTACTCGTATCTCCGCACGTCGTTGGCGCGCGGGTCCGCCGACATATGTGGACATGAATCAAGCTGACTTGGAAACTCAAACTGCCGACGTAATTTCCATCTGCGGCGATCGCTCACGCTTAATTTCGCCTAGCGCCGTCGTTTCCGCGATCACGCGCCCCTGTCATCGATCACGCGATACTTTGGGACTTTTACGAATGCAATCCAGCTTTTACGTTTGATGCATATGAAACTATAAAAAAAACAGACAATTCAATCGTAAAATAAATTAAATACCGAGCCGATAAAAACGAACAATTTTGTCAAAACATTTATTTAACAAACGTAAGCTATTTTATGGGAAACAAAATTCATTATTGTTTCAGGCTCAAACTAACGCGCGGATATATCATAAACATGCGCGCTTTGTTGTGACAAAAATGAATTAATTAAAGGAAAAAGGCAACTCAAAAAATTCTAAAAATTTAAAATTTTGCAAAAAGGTATATACCAAAGGTATGTATAACCATATAAAAATGTTATGTTTTAATTAATTCTAGGAGTAAAAATATTCCTCTAAAAACAGTTTAACATTCCATGCGTCTAATAATATCTCAGAAATTAAAAAAAATGTCAAGATATATTAAATATAAAAATATAATTGAAAATTATAAAATATAAAAAAAATTGCTGCATAATTGGGTTTCCATATACTTTTAGTTCTGCAAGATTTCAGATTTTTAAGAATATTTTAATTGCTGATTTTTCGTTGTAAGTTAATCAAATCTGATTACAGCACAACTGACATAATAACACAAATTTGCTTACAACACACGCAAGAGGATTTTTTTTTATTCACAAAAACACACTGCAAATCTTCCGTTAAGAGTTTCTTATTAAAATTCCACAGCACGAAAAGGATATTCTTTTGTCACGGTTTTTAATTTTAATTCATTAACTGTCCGAAATGTAATTAACGCTGAAAATGAAATCTCTCTCCCCCTTTCTCTCTCTCTCTCTCTCTCTCTCTCTCTCTCTCTCTCTCTCTCTCTCGCTCGCTCGCTCTCTTTTTCTCTGCAAGAGAGAAGTTATACTCGGCACTGTCGCGTGGCGAGAGTTACAAGTCGTGGGAATGCGTTCCTTTAAAAGCAGAATGGACGCACACAATTCGGCCACGAACATAAAAAAATGCAAGGCCCCTCCCTGTAATGAGTTTAGCGCCGACGACTCTAATTTGATGCACACAAACCCGGCGTCAGCGAGCGAGAAACGTTAAATATCGCGTAATTGCTAACCGTCGGGAACTCTATGCTGAAAATGAATCGGTGTGTCGACACGCGCGTAACGCGTGTTTGCCCACTGACAAATTATGTTTTCCAAAGGCACTGATTTACGGCATAATCCTATTTGTCAACGATACTGCCTATCCTAAATTCCCCATCACCCTCCAAATATCCTTCGAACAGTTCTAAATTTATAACAATAATTTTGTTGTCACATTCTCTATTAAAATATGCCGCACAGGCAACAGTGGCAATATTATCCTAGTTAATGAGCAATGGTATCGCTCTTTAATTATTATGAGATATTATGTAAAAAACTTTTCAAGGCAATATTCAATAAATTTATTTAAAAAATGTTTATTGTAAGTTATTGTTGAAACAACAAGAAGAAAGAAAAAGAAAGTTAAAGAAAAACAGAAAGTTTTAATATATTATTTATATATTTCGTAATATATAAGATATAAATATATATTATATATATAC